AAAAAAAAAAAAAAAAAAAAAAAAAGAGGACGTTCAGTTATAAAAATGAAGAGGATTTACACAGACTCTCTTGAGAGGCTGCGCTTTATAATTCCAGTCAAGCTAGCTCTGTCTCGGACTTTAAACCCCAGCGATCCTGCCCTCGAGGAAACCTCCAGAAGCACTAAGGTCGGCGCTACATTCGCCAGCCTCCGCCGACCGTCGACCCCGGAGTTCCTCGAACCCCAGCGGACAGCCGCGGAAGCCGCCGCGCGGCGGGCGGAAGGGGCGGGGCCTCGCGACGACGTCACCGGGGCGCCGGCGGCCGGGCGCGCCCCGGGGTTAGTGGCTAACTGGACGCACGCGGAGATGGAGGCTGCTGGGGACGCTTTGGGACCATTGGTGACCGGTCTGTACGACGTACAGGCTTTCAAGTTTGGGGACTTTGTGCTGAAGAGCGGGCTCTCCTCCCCCATCTACATCGATCTGCGGGGCATCGTGTCTCGGCCGCGTCTTCTGAGTCAGGTGCCAACGCACAACGGGAAGGACGGCAGGGTGGCGGGAGACGACCAGGAGATAGAGGGCGGGAAGGGTGGCAGGAATTGGGTTGTGGGTGAGAGCAAAAGAGCCAAGCGTGCAAGCCAACCCTACTGCTGATTTGGGGAGTAGGCTTGAGAAGCACAGAGGCTCTTGGGGACCTCGGAGAGTGCGTTCTGTGACCTACTGGCTTTGACACGTGCTTTGCAAGAGTTGGGAAACCCTGCTTGGGGCTCCATCTGGCTCGGAAAGAATCACTTGAATGAGTTCCATGTATTTAACGCCGGAAAGATTAGACGTGGGGAAAAAAGGAAAAAGTTGGTGGGCGGAGAACCTACTAGTTTTTCATATACTTCAATTTTGCACTGTGTAGCCAGGAGCAAAATTAAGACCAGAATGTCCAGAAGGTAGATATTTCAGGGAGGCAATTTTTGGTACCTTTAAGGGAAAAGTTTGACTCTCCTGTCTCGTACACCTGAGTAGGACAACAGGCGCGTACCACTGCACCCAGCTTTTTTTTTTTAACATTTTGCAGAGAGGAGTCTTGGTATGTTTCTCAAGGTGGTCTCAAACTCCTGGGCTCAAGCATTTCTCCTGCCTCAGCCTCCAAAAGTGCTGGGTAGCTACTGTACCAGGCTGCAGAAGAATTCGTAACATTTAGAAACTTACAGACTTGGGAAATATTTTAAAATTTCCAATTTTAAATTTTAATTTGCATACAGAGAAGTATGAGAGAGGAATCAGTAGGAACTTTTCAAGTGTAGGTATATATTGTATTAGAATAAATTCTGTGGACACAAACTCTGTAAGAGCTTTTCTAGTATAGGCATGTATTGCATTAGAATTAAATTCTGTGGACACATCTATCTCCCTGTGAAGTGAAAATTAGTAACTGAAGAAATGTAAAAATTTTCCAGTTTTCTTTGTTCAGCATTTCCTGGGTAGTGTGTGGATTACAAGTGTATTTGTTAAAAAGAATGATAGAATATCATTGATGTTTTTGTACTAGAAATCACATTCTTTGCAACTTAAAATTATTGATAGATTTTTAAGCTGGGCACAGTACATGCGTGTAATCCTAGCACTGTGGGAGGGTGGATTGCTTGAGCTCACAAGTTTGAGACCAGCCTGAGCAAAACCAAGACTCTGTCTCTACTAAAAATAGAAAAACTGAAGCAAGAGGATTGCTTCAGCCCAAGAATTGGAGGTTGCTGTGAGCTATGATTCACAGCACTCTACCCAGGCAACAGTTTGAGACTAAGTCTCCAACAACAACAACAACAAAATTCTTTTATTTTTAAACATTTAGAAGTATTGGAGTAGAACATTTTAAAGACTTCTGATCTAGTTCCTGAAGCGACTCTGAGTGTTTTTCTTTAAAAAGAAAAAATAATAAAGTGGTGTTAGGTAAGTATATATATTCTAATACTGAATGTGATGATTTATGTGGAAAAGGAGATTATAAAATAGGACTTTAGGCTGGGCAAGGTGGTTTATGCCTGTAATCCTAGCACTTTGGGAGGCCAGAGTGGGAGGATCATTTGAGCCAAGGAGTTCAAAACCAGCCTGGACAACATAGCTGAGAGCCCCTCTCTATAAAAAAAATCAAAAACTGGCTCGTGCCTGTGGCTCAAGTGGCTAAAGCACCAGCTGAGCTGGCAGGTTCGAATCCACCCTGGGCCTGCCAAACAATGACGGCTGCAACCAAAAAATAGTCAGGCATTGTGGCAGGTGCTTGTAGTCCCAACTACTTGAGAGGCAGAGGCAGGAGAATTGCTTGAGCCCAGGAGTTGGAGGTTGCTGTGAGCTATGATGCTATAGCACTGTACCCAGCTTGAGGCTCTGTCTCAAAAAAAAATAAAATAAAAAACTTAGCAACGTGTAGTGGTACACACTAGTAGTCCCCAGCTACTCAGGAGGCTGAGAGAGGAGGATTGCTTGGGACCAGGAGTTGGAGGTTGCAGTGATAATGACACTATCTATAATGACAGGTTGTTGATAATGACACTACACTTCAGCCTGGGTGACAGTGAGATCCTGTTTCTAAATAGATAAATAGATAGAAAGAACGTCATACAATCGGGTTTGCATTTATAAAACTTAATTTAAGACTTCTTTCAGAAAATCTAACTAAAAATGAATAGGTCTGATACTCAAAGCATAATGAATTACTAAGGGAAACCGGGAAGTTGGGGGACTATCCTTAGTCTTTGGGAATCAAAGACTTTTGATCTTCCCCAATGCTCATGTGGCTTGATGCTTCGAGCTGAGTAGTTTCATTCCTACGTTTTATATTTGTATATATATACAGCTATCTATGGAGAGTAATTTAATAAAAAGGCATTTGCTTCCAGTCAGGTTTGAGACAAATCCCCACTAGGTTATTACTGTCTTTAATGTTATGTTGGTACATAATTTATAAACCATTTAAAACAGTAATAATAATAGTTTGTGTGTTCATTTGCTTACAGATTGCAGATATTTTATTCCAAACTGCCCAAAATGAGGGAATCAGTTTTGACACGGTGTGTGGAGTACCTTATACAGCTTTGCCGTTGGCTACAGTTATGTGTTCAACCAATCAAATCCCAATGCTTATTAGAAGGAAAGAAACAAAGGATTATGGTAACGTAAAAGCAGTGTAAACATTAAGTTCATATGGAGTCAGATACTGTTGGAAGGTTTTCCTGTTCTGTACACTGATGTTTTGACTAGTCATCTTGGATATTTTTCTTAAGTCTTTTAAGTGTTACTGTCTGTGGAATTCATTAGCTTTTGTTATAAATCACCTTTCTTTGTTTTTCTTGACTAGGCAATGAAAAAAATTGCTTTTTTTTGCACTGTTTCTGTGAAACCCCAGCAACCAGCCTTTACCTTATCAGCAAAGTGTTCTAAGAGCACATACTTTCCCAGTACTTGTACTTAAATTGCATGAAGAGTAATGTATGAATAAAATTACTCTTGTAAAGCAATGTAAACACCTCGTGGATCCCTGGCAATAAGTTATCAGGTAGCTTGCCTTAAAACCTAAAAATCAATCTTAATGCTATTAAGCAATTAATCGTCTTTTTTCTTTGTTTTGTGTTAATTGATAATGTTTTGTTGTTTTTTTTTTTTTTTTTTGAAACAAGTCCTTTTCCAGATGCATTCTAGAAATTTTTGTGTTGAAATCATATGATTTCATATAATATCTGGGCTTTGCTTTCTGGAAGTAGGGAGTAAGGATGAAATAAGATGGACCATGAGTTGTTAGGTGGTTGTTAGGTATTCACGGTATTCATTACACTATTTGTCTACTTTTGTTTGAAATTATCATAATAAAAAAATAAGAAAAGCATTTGAGTTTTTGATGTTTAAAGGCATAGCACAAATTTTTTGAGCTATAGTAATTATCTGCATGAGTCCCTATCCATAAGAGAACTGTTATTTCTATTTTCTTATTATATGTTTGTATTTATATATTTAATTTTTTTGAGACCGCGGCACTGTGAATAGTGTACTGTGGCATCATAGCTCACAGCAAAGTTAAGCTCTTGGGCTCAAGCAATCGTCTTCCCTCAGTTTTCTATTTTTAGTAGAGATAGCATCTTGCTATGCTCAGGCTGGTCTTGAACTCCTGAGCTTGAGCAGTCCACCCACCTCAGCCTCCCAGAGTGCTAGGATTACAGGCATGAGCCACTGTATCCGGCTTATTATTGTATGTTTTTAAAAATAATTTTTAATATATCCATAAGTACTCTCAGTTTTGTGATCTAGTCTAACTTGATCACAGATCTAGAACTTGTCAGTTCTCCGAGGGGATGAAAGAAGAGAGAAGGAATGGAAAGGTGAAAGATGATACCTGTAGTAAAGCTCAGAAGGTGGGTGGAATGTACACCAATTAATTCCGTTTCCATTTCAAAATAAGCAAATTAGTAGTGGGAAACATAAAAATGAATCTATATAGCCTGAGTTGTTTACATTTTATGGATTATCTGGAAATAGTCTATAGTGGGATTTGGGGTAGAAAAGTATGTCTTTTAGTCACATTGCATTGTATAATTCGTAAGATTGTAGTAACAGGTCTAGATGGTTGCTGAAGATTTTTCCTCCTGAATTTATATCTTCAAAATCCAGTTGTTTGGATAATCTTGAGTGAGGAACATAATGCTGTAGTTTTCTTGACGAGGAATAATTTTATTGATGATACTAGGTTATTCTTTGTTTCATAACTTTCCTTGATCCCTAGTGATTTGCTTTAAGAAACCACATTTTTGAAAATTTGGCCATAAAACACATTAAATGGTGTTTATTCTACAAAATAATGTACTTATTTTACTGTAAGTAGTGTGCATGTGTAACTGGCATTAGGTAATACAGAGACACTGAACAGAGCAGTCATCGGGGCACACTGAACATACATCAGACATGAAGATAAGTAGCTCCCAAGTAGATGATCAGAAAATAAGGTTTAAGCCTAGGTGTGGTGGCTCATGCCTGTCATCCTAGCACTCTGGGAGGCTGAAGCCGGTAGATCACCTGAACTCAGGAGTTCCAGACCAGCCTGAGCAAGAGTGAGACCCTGTCTCTGCTAAAAATAGAAAAACTAGCTGGGTGTTGTGGGTGGCACCTGTAATCCTAGCTAATTGGGAGGCTGAGGCAAGAGGAAATTTGGGGCTAAGAATTTGAGGCTACTGTGCCCTATAATGATACCACAGCACTCAACCCAGGGGGACAGAGGAGATGCTGTCTCAAAAAAGAAAGAAAGAAAGTAAGGTTTAGATCATCCATCTCTTCATAACTAGATATCAGACTTAGACTGTAAGATAGATTTTGAATTGGCTTTTATATATGTGTGTGTGTGTGTGTGTGTGTGTGTGTGTATGAAAGCTGAAATCAACAGAATTTTTTCTTTTCTAGGTACTAAGCGTCTTGTAGAAGGAGCTGTAAATCCAGGAGAAACCTGTTTAATCATCGAGGATGTCGTCACCAGTGGATCTAGTGTTTTGGAAACTGTTGAGGTTCTTCAGAAGGAGGGCTTGAAGGTCACTGATGCTGTTGTGCTGTTGGACAGAGAGCAAGGCGGCAAGGACAAGTTGCAGGCGCACGGCATCCGTCTCCACTCAGTGTGTACTTTGTCCAGAATACTGGAAATTCTTGAGCAGCAGAAAAAAATTGATACTGAGATGGTTGGAAGAGTGAAGAGATTTGTTCAGGAAAATGTTTTTGTGACAACTAATCAAAATGGGTCTCTCCTTTGTATAAAGAAAGCATCCAAAGAACTCAGCTTTGGTGCCCGTGCAGAGCTGCCCGGGATCCACCCAGTTGCCTCAAAGCTTCTCAGGCTTATGCAAAGGAAGGAGACCAATCTGTGTTTGTCCGCTGATGTTTCAGAGGCCAGAGAGCTGTTGCAGCTAGCAGATGCGTTAGGACCCAGCATCTGCATGCTCAAGACTCATGTAGATATTTTGGATGATTTTACTCTGGATGTGATGGAGGAATTGACAATGCTGGCACAACGCCATGAGTTCTTAATATTCGAAGACCGGAAATTTGCAGATATAGGCAACACAGTAAAAAAGCAGTATGAAGGTAAGGGTATTATTCAGGAATCTGTGAGGATCAGAAATCCAGCTTTTTTAATGAATACAGTTGTCTATTGGGATTAGAATAGCTAAAGACATCTAAGGAATGTGTAGAAATATTGAGAGATAATAAAGTTCCTGAGAGATCCCTGCAGAATGAAAATTTGCCATTTTCAAGGTGAATTTCAAAATGTCAATATCCTTGATGTTAATAAATGCCCATCTTCACTGGAGTCCCTTTCTGAATTACATGAGCTTCATTCAGCCTGCAAGGAAAAACAGTCTTATCAGTGTCCCTGATAAAGTGCAGAACTTTTTTTTTTTTGCAGTTTTTGGCTGGGGCTGGGTTTGAACCCGCCAACCTCCAGCATATGGGGCTAGCGCCCTTCTCCTTTGAGCCACAGGTGCCGCCCCAAATGCAGAACTTTTAATAGTTTTTTCTCACTGTGATCTCTTCTTACCCGGCTGTCAGGTAGATAGATACATTTTTCTTATTTTTTTCTTTCTCTCTCTCTCTCTTTTTTTTTAGAGATAGAGTCTTATTTTGTCACCCTCGGTAGAGTGCCAAGGAGTCACAGCTCACAGCAACCTCCAGGCTCTTGGGCTTAGACAGTTCTCTTGCCTCAGCCTCCTGAGTAGCTGGGATTACAGGTGCCCACCACAATGCCTGGCTATTTTTTTATTGCAGTTCGGCCTGGGCTGGGTTCGAACCCTCATTATATGGGGCCGGCACCCTACTCACTGAGCCATAGGTGCCGCCGATAAACATTTTTCACAGACAGAACCATGGATTCTGTAATAATCACTAACATTCCTGAAGTATTAGACTCTCACATTAACATCTTACTAGGAGATTATTTCTTTTTTTTTTTTT